AATATATTGAAGAACAACACACACAATTGTATCGAAAAACATCGCACATTTAATGCAAAAAATCGAACATAATATTGAAAACATCGCACATATACATCGTCAAAACATCGCACATATAAATTGAAAATCGCATATAAATGTAAAACATGGCGCACATATATTGAACATCGCGCATATATTGTAAAACATCGCACAAATATATCAAACATCGCGCAAATAATGAAAACCATCGCACACTTTATTGAACATCGCACATAACTGTAAAAGATAACAAACACATATTGAACATCCAACATAGGCCTATATATTGCAAAATATTGAATATTGCAACGTTTGACACGCCATAGTTTTGACGCAAAGTGTTGTTTTAGAAAGCGTTCAACTTTAGTTGCCGTTTTCTCCGATTGCTATTTTTTACTGGTATGTAGATGGGTGTTACTTCGTGGTGTCGGTGACGATTTGTTTGGTAACACTGTTAATCAGGCTTCTATGCCTATTCCGTTCGCTGTTCCCAACAGTCCTTCACCAGGCTGTAATCAACCATTATTTTCCTGAAAAATAAAGTAAACATTACGTTCTCATCCTTAATTCTAAAAAAAAAAAATATATATATACACGAAAACAACATTACACAAGAACACCACATTACACCAGGGGCCTGAGCTGTTCACGATACCGATGTGCTTCCTATATGATAGCGCTTCGTACGGTACCCCCGCCCTGCAAACAGGGCCTAGGGCGCTGGGCCGAGAAGGGCTAGGCTGATGAGCTTCACAGAATCTTGTGAAGGAAGTAGGGATGGCATTCTGGGTAACTTATCATGCCCTATATATAAAGACATAATTAAAGCTGCTGTAGATTTTAAAGGGTACAGGCTAGTCTGGTTCCCTGACCCCATTGACTTGAAAAAAATATCTTCAGGTGGGGCCGGGAAACAGTCTACAATCCCAGCCAAATGATTGGGACACTTCCTGAGCCTAGCAACAGTCACCCACTCCCCCGCTCCCCCGGTCAATGTTGTTCTCTCCAGCTGATGGAGCACACACCACGCAATGACAGACAACATTAAACGGGGGTCGGGGGAGGGCGGGGGCCCAGCGAGACTCGGCCAGGATTGTAGGCACGGTGCCTACCGTGCTTATTGGGTAATCCAGGCATGGCCACCAGGGCTCAACTTTCAAGCCCTATACACGTTTTACATGTATGCACATTGCCACGTTGTCGTTTACAAAAAAATAGAGAATATAAAGGGGAAAAAACATGCATTCTAGTAAACATGCCCGCGGGCCAGTTAAGAGTCTGTTCAGTAGCCCGGCTGGCTAGTGAACAAAAAAGTTAAGGTCGAACCCTGGTAACTTCCTTCCAACTCCCAAATCACCCCCCCCCCCGCATTTCGCTCGAACTACTGTAATACGCGGATGATGACCCATCAGCCCCTTCAGAGTTGGGAGCACTTGTTGCGGAACCGCCGTTTTTTACCCCCCTGAAGTGCTGGTGTCCCCCAGGTCACACCCCCTGAAAAAAACCACTGTCGTGGCATATAATGCGCATGCGCAGCGCAATTTTTACAACCCACCTTTTAAAAGAAGCGACGTTTTGAAAAAAAAATCCCGCAATTTACTTGTACGGCTGTTGAGGAATGATCGATAACTCATATTTCATCAAAACAAAAATCCAAGTTCGATCTGGCCTGAACTTGACACAAGCCCGTTTTTTGCGCCTGCCTTGCTGTAGGGCGCCCTCAACGGGAGATAATTGAGTTCCAGCTCCTTCCAACCCAAAAAATACCCCCTCCCCTTCCCCAATTTTCGAAATTGCTGTCATCGGATGACTGTCTATCTGCCCCCTTCAGATTTGGGAGCATTGTTGCGGAACCACCATTAGTGACCCCTTTTACATGTAATAACGCATAAAAGTCTACAGACCACGTCACCATTGACGTCATACCAACGGCCAACAGACGGGCAACCCAAACATTTGTTTTTATTCATTGCTTTATTTCTTAATAATTAATGCTAAACGCAAAACATTTGTTGTTCAATAGTATGAATAATATGAATTCGACAAATTTTAAGGCTTAAAAAGGCCCATTAAACGACATGCATTTCGCAATAGCAAAAACTGATAACAGATAAAAGAAAAAGCTCAAAGCAAGACAGCAATAAAATAGTTCAATTGTATGTGTAAAATAGCGTTACTAAAATAAAGAGCTGAAAAAGTACATACATGCGTAAATCTTATTGATAATTCTCAGGAATGTCGAAAGGAAGTACTAATGAATAACAGTGGTCCAAGGTTTGAACCTTCAATGGTACGTATTGAGCGCTGGGCCTTTCAAAGATTTTGGATACATATTTTTCTTGCCTTTTTGAGGTATGCTGGGAACAATAGGACAGCGCTGTTTGGTTACGGTGTCATATGAAAATCCGACTCCTATGAAAATCGGACCCCTTTTCCCGATTATTGGTTTATCCCTCGCACGCGACAGGTCACTCTCCCGTATGTGATCCCAAAAATAGCATATTCTCGTACTTACGCATGCGCAATACTACAAAAGAGTCCACATTTCATGGAGTCGGATGTTTACGCTACACCGGCATAAATACAAAAGAGTTTACCCAAACTAAATAGCGCCCCCTTTTTACCTATCGCGATAGAATCGCATCACCGCAGCTTGTTAAACATTGTCCAATTCATTATACAAATGAAAGCGGAAAGCGCAAAATTTGAGACAAACAAACTTAACGTACACAATTCCTGGTAGGGTTGTCTATTAAGGGGCGTGGCTAACTCGCAAACGGCGATTAGAGAATAACTGGTCCGTGTTTGTGTCAAACATTATCTCATAAAAGGCCAGTGACCGACAATAGAGCCTGAAAAATGACTGATGGCGCGCTTCGCGCAAATCGGGATCCTCGAAGAGGAAAATTAGCGTGTTACAATTCGGAGTTTTTCCCACTTATTTTTGGTACACTGGTGTCAGGAAATCACCATCGGAAAAGTCCTTGGTAAAAATGTTATTAGCATCTCAATCAATGGAAACTGAAAAAATCGCTTAATGTGAAAGAGAAACATCGTGCCCAAAGTTGACATTTCACTTCCAAAAATCTAAAATACATGTGGACTGTTAGAAGTCGGAGCACTCGTACAAAGACGAACATTATTTTATGAAACAATTTTGTGGAGGTCAATGGGCAAAAACTGAAACTTTAAATTTAAAATAAAATGTCTAAAATGTCCTTTCAATACAAACTTAAAAGAAATAATTGTTATTCACAAACAAATCTAAAATTACCTTTGATAATGTCACGCCCCAACTATCGCATCGGTCCCAACTATAGTTGGGACTGTCCCAACTATAGTGCGGCAGTTGGGTCGGCCCAACTATAGTTAGGACTGGAGTTGCGCTGGATGCTTCATGCTTGGTAGATCTTGTTGGATTAAATGTTTCGCGGCGTTGGCACCGTGTATTCATCGTGCATGCATGCCGCAAGGCTGGCCGGTCACGTGGTACTGCCTAGTTGGATGAGTTGTCCAGCTGCTGGGTTGATTGTCCAGCAACATTTTGCAAAATTCAAAGATTGCCATGGCCGGCCACCTATAGATGGGCCCCACCCATAGCTAATGTCAAGGTCCCAAGTGAAGTTAGACAGTATGTAACAGAGCTGAAGGGAATGTTTTATAGTCGTCGTACATCAATGTAAACTATAGTTGGGACCGCCAAATAAAAATATTGCGGTGGTCCAACTACAGATGGTCCCCACCCATAGATAATTTCATTGGTCCCAAGTAAAGTCAGATGTGTATTAGAGTTGTAGGGAATGTTTTATAATCGTACAACAATGTACACTATAGTTGGGACCGCAAAATAAAAAGATTGGAGTGGCCCAACTATAGATTCGCCCCATGAATAACTAATTTCAGTGGTCCCCAGTAAAGTCAGACGTGTATCAGAGCTGTATGGAACGTTTTACAGTTGTACATCAATGTAAACTATAGTTGGGACACCGCAAAATAAAAGATCGGAGTGGCCCAACTATAGATGGGACTGCCCAACAGTGGAACTTACAGTTGGGACCGTCCCAACTATAGTTGGGACAGGCCCAACTATAGTGGGGCAGCCCAACTGTGGAACTACAGTTGGGACAGGCCCAACTATAGTTGGGACCGATGCGATAGTTGGGCGTGACAACAACAACTGTATTCAAGTAAGTCTGTACTAATCTAGAATCCATGGGGTGTAGGTAGGTATAACTATTCGCGTCGTTATCATTTTCGTTCTCACGCAAGTCCGCGGTGTGAAATACACGCGATTAAACAAGGAGACCCAGGTACGAAAATCAGGATGTGTTAAGATAAATTGATACAACATGAATGTTTCTTGGAAACATTCTGTCAAAATTATAGCAAGAGAAAGGGTGACCCCGTGTAAAATGCCCATAGAAGGTTCGCAGAGGGGCCCAGAAGCTCAAAGACAAAATGGCGTACTTTCAAGCTCTATTATGAAAAGATCTTACACAACAAAAAATACTATAATTTGCATCAGAAATTAAACTAGAGGTACATTGTACTCCGAGAGCACGAACCTTAGCAGGGCGGATCCAGGAATTTTCGCAGGGGGGGGGGGGGGGGGGGGGGGTTCATCAGCAAACAATTCTGAAAATGTACACAGGTTTTTTTCTCCGGACACTTGGCCTCCGTAAAATCAAAAACTGGGAGTGGGGGAGGGGGGGGGGAGGGCTGGTACCATATTTCAATAGGGGGGAGGGCGCTTTTCAAATTCGATGATTATTAACACTAGATTACCGAATGGTGTACCGTATTTTGAACAGGCAAACATTATACCAGTATAACTTTTTTGGGTGTCACAGCAGGGGGGGGGGGGGTTTCGACTTATTTTTGTGGAATTTGTATGGAAATTTTTTTTTTTTGACAGAGCTGGGGGGGGGGGTTGGAAAAAATATATCTCGTAAAAAAGACCTTGGAAAAAAACCCAATACGACTAAGGTAATTCGCCATTACATTGTTATTTAAACTGGAATATTTGAACAAACAAAAAGCAAGCTAGTGCAAGGAATGCATCCAGATTCTCCTACAAGGAGGGACGGGTTTCTTGGAGGCCTTCCTAAGAAGCTCCGCCCATCTTGTTGACAATGTTGCCCAAGACGTTCAGCTGCTGGTTCACTTCCGAGGACTGGCAGAGAAGTACGCAGTTGTTGGGATTCTGAAAATGAATGAATGATTAAAGAAAAGGGGAATGACATAAATTGCAGAACTATAGGTTTTTGTCTAAATTGACTTTTTTGGTGATTTTCTTCAAATGGTGTTTGACATGCATTTTACTTCTTTTTTCTTGTTTTTATAATGTAAACATTTATTATACACAGCCTGGCAATGAGGTCACTAGTGCATGTCTATAGGTGCACACCTGTAAATAGGCCTAAACCCATCCGCCGAGCTCATGAATAAAAGTTCTACCCTCAAAATATTCCTTATTATAGAGTTCTGAGAGCCATAGAATTGGGGAATTGAAGCAATATAGCCATGAACCTCTGGCCCAGACTTGGGCCTTCCAATTCTGAGTATTTTGGATGCAATTGAACTCTACGAAATTGGTGCTATTTTTTTTCATGTTGTGGAGGGATAGTTTTCAAAAAGGCTACTTTTCCGCTTTGGGGAAAAATTGTCTTCTTTGGGTGAGAATTCCTCGAAAAGTCAATGGTCACTCCACCAAAAATTGAAAAGAAAATCAAGGATGACATGTTGATCATCATTTTTCTGTGCAGCTTAAGTACCGGTGAGAGTTCTGGGTATTTTTAAAAGAATTTAGAAGTATGGGCATTAAGCACTCTTGTCTATGGGAATTTTAATACACTGTTGCACACCTATGCGCCCCGAGGGACTGTGTGTGACCAGAAGAGGGTCCTATTTCCTGAGGGCGAAGGTCGAGGGAAATAGGCATGGGCGTCGCGAGGGGGGAAAGGGGCGCTTGCCCCTCCCCCCCCCAGCAAGAAAAAAGAGGAATAAAGGGGGAGAAAGAAAAAGAGGCGCACAATCATGTTGTTATTAATTTAATGGGTGTGGGGGGGGGGGGAAGTCTCCCTGCCTTCCCTCAAAAATAATGATAAATCGGGAAAATGCTGGAAAATGTAGGGATTTTGGGGGGAAATGTGTTTTGAGAGGGGGCTGTTATCGGGTGCTGTTATCGGGTACTATCTGGCTCGTTTGTGTGACATCATCTCTTCTTAACCACGCGTACTTCACACGCATAGAGCTATATGACTCTGTGAGATAGCACAACCTCGTTTCCATGAGTACGATCTTGCTGCGCCCATAGACATCTAATAACATTTATTATAATACACCTCTTGCTTGTTCTTTATCCTGGTTGGCTGAAACGTGGTCACGTGTGATTCACTTAATAAAGGTTAGTGTCTGAAACTTGCGTCATCGTGAACTAGACGCGCGTCGAGGCATTGCGCGCGTAATTTCCAGAGTATATTGCCTGATCGGGCATTATAACACATCACCCACAGATTCTGTGTCTTGATTGGCCGAGAGCGAGTTACATGATACTTTCTATTTTTGCTATCTGTCAGTGCACGTCCAAAAGTACCACTCATAGCAACCAAAGGACTATACCTGTAGCAACCAAAATACTATACGCACTGCGTGTAAAAGGCATAGGGGTACGTTGCGCGTTGCGCTACAGAGCTGGGTTCAAACATTTTGTGAAGGGGTAGTTAGAAAAAGTGCAAGTTAATTTTCAACTAATTTCATATTCAAATAGAAGTAAATTTTTATTGTATTCAGATCAAATTAATCAGTTATCGCTTAAAATCAAGCAGAATCTGTGGGAGAGGTGTTATAAAACAAATATTGACTGCTTTATCTATCCGCCCTCGGTAATCCATGGAGCATTCTATTAAATAGAATGCTCAAAGATCATCTGGGGGGGGGGGGGGCTAGTTTTGCTACACCACTCAATGCAGTCAAAATTTGTAAACTATACTCAAACATTTTGGACTGGTATTGGTAACAGCGCCCTCTGACAAAAGTCAAACTCAAAAATGTAATCTAGGGAAACTAAAAGCGTTAATTGACGAATTGTTTATTGCTTAAGAGTTATTTGTTAAATTATATAAATCAGTTCAATAAAGTTTCTTGTCTTATTTTATATTTTGGACATACATGTAGGTGAGTGATATCAATACTTATGGACTGGCATAATTCGGTCAAAGATCTACCTGGATGTTAATACAAATAATCAATGTTTTGCATTCGTGCGATGGTTAGAATATTTCCATTGTACCATTCAACTCGGATTCGCCTCGTTAAATGGAACGTTCAATCTTTCAACTCGTGAAAATAATCTCACCGTTGCACTCATAAACATTCATTATTTGTAGCTTTACAGTCCGTGTAGAGTCAGGAATAAGACCAAACAAACAAAAAAACAGGAATGGCAAACCAATATATTTTGAGTAATTTGACTTATTCATAGGGTATTTATTTGCATACTAAGGTAAAATAATTTATGCTTTAAAAATACTGACCAAATAGGTGTTGGCGAATGCTATGATGAGGTCTGGGATTGCGTCCACGTAGGCGTTGCATTCAGCCTTGTAACCCGCAGGGACCAAGTAGGTGCAGGCGTACTGCCTCATGAACGTCTGCACTAGGTCCTGTAAGCAACATTTTGATTTCCATTGAAACCCAGTCCAAATAAATAACTGTAATGTTAAGCCAAGACAAGATGACTTTGCGGTAGCACCATGTGAATAAATCTCTTTTGAGATTTATTCACATGGTGCTACCGCAAACTCATCTTGTCTTAGTATCTTTCCACCATGCAAACCTTCAAATCTCATCTTAATGTTAAGCCATTATGAGTAATATTATCACGGCTCATGTACATGTTTAATTGCCTTTGATGTCCAGAAAAACCAAAATTTACAAAACCAACCATAAAGCGAAATTTGAATTGCTGGTTGTTTGTTATTTCAATTGTACACAAATAGGCCTACATATTGAAAAACTGTGCAGAGATGAGTGAACATAAGAAGCATGAGCTTGGCTAGCTCCCGATTCATGAATGTTAGTAACATTGGGGAGGCGGGAACTAGACTAGGCCGCAATACAAGCTGCAACCACGCCATCTTGCTAGCAATGCGTTCAAGGTGGAGCAATGAAATCGATTAAAAAAATGTTCTCGATGTGTACTATGTGTACCGAGTACTGGGGTCGAGTACCGAGTACCAAACCGTCGAGTCCGTGCAAAATTCGAGTACGAAGAATCGAGTAAGGGCCAAGTCCAACATTTTTTCGAGTACTGATAGTCGAGTACGGGCCGAGTACCTGTGTGTACTTGAGTTGTACTCGAGCACGAGTACGAGTACAAGTACTCCAACACTGCTGACTGGTTCATTGATTAGCACTTGTGAACCGGGCAGTGCTATCATATAGGATAACCCAACGCCAATGAATGGGCTCAATCTGACCCATTGTGTAGACTGATGCGTGAACAGACTTCAAATGAAGAGATAATGCTTGCATATAGTCTTGATGTTCTAACTTTTGCATTGAACTTTCTGCAAGTTGGGAAGGTCTGCTCTGTTTGTCTCAGAATTAACCGGGCAACCTCATTAACATGTTTAAAGTGAGTAAACATCATAAAAATGCTCAGGGGTAAGTTGTGAGAAATATTTTACCAGACCAACCCCTAGAGTAAAATGGTCCCCGCTATTGTCAGGACCTCGACCATGAGGGAATTATAGAGATTCTCACTCACCAACAATCCCTTGTCGACGGCCATGCCATGCGCCATGGTCATCAGCTGCTCACACCACATACAGGGGAAGTTGGGAGCTTGATCTACGGTCGACAACTTTTGGATCTCTTGGATACCGCTGGCTAAAACATAAAGATGTAAGAACAATATATTTATTAACTTGATATCACTCAAGAATTTGGTTCCTCGAAAGGAAATAAAATGCGTCAATTACTTGTAGCTTCTATCTTTGGTTTCATTATAAAAAAAAATGGAGGAGTGACACCGTATACCCTATGATCCGCAATTGCCCGAACTCCAAATTTCATTCTGCTATAAGAGAGGTATTTTTCTACCATTCTTATATTCTATCTTACCAAGTTGGTGGATCATCCTAGCCACTTTATCACTGGCGGACGTGTCATGCTCTTCTGCATACTGCACCTCTTGTTTCATCGTTAGAACATATTCTTGTGAATAACAAAAAAATGGAAGGAAATAAATTGCAGGTGGGCATCGGGAAAAGACTAATCAAGAACATCGGCAATCACTTTGCCTTGTAGTTTTCAAGCTCTCCCCGTGCTGAGTTCAACTTCAAGTTTCAGCCCGAAAAACACATTTTGCTTTAAAGTGCTATTTTTCGTGCTACCGATACAAAATTTACAAAAGTTATTTACTTTTGATAGAAACAATGACCAATGTTTTCCTTTAAATCCACATTAATTTTAGCTATGGATTGTATTTTACAGATTTCGAATTATTGCGGCACAACAATATACCAGGCGTATCTTTTTGTGCGGTGTGCGCGCAAAATCTATATAAAATAAAAGCACATTTTCAGAGGATTGGATCGTCCATAGTCGAAAAAAGTAGCTTTTCAGGTTAAACAATACTTCGTAAGGAGAAATATGTTGAAGAACATGGGTAGAGAAACTTACTTTCATCTCATTTCCAGAAAAAGAAAATTCGTTTTCTCTGATCATGTCCCTCTGTTTTACTGACCTTGCCCGCTAACCGCCACGATGAACATGATCACCAAAATCCCAACGCTTTTGTCCATTTTAGGAGAGTTTTTTTCCGGATGTACTGCAAACCGTCAAATGAAAACACAAGTTTTGCTCTCTCGTGAGGAGACTGCACAAGGTTTCGACTTTAAGTGACTAGCTTTGAGCTCGCGATAAAGATTTCAGACCGTCGGCGGCAGTTGTTATACCCCATGCAAGGGCGGATCCATGGGGGTGGTGGGGTGGCTATTTTGGGGACACTGAAAAGGTCATTACAAAAAGTTACGAAACATGACTCAATGCTTAAGGCCTTTGGTCGATTTATGTGGCAAACCTCGTCCAGCCCATCCTGAAAACTTTTCAATTTCAACACCCAGCCACCCCTTTTTGGAAAAGTGGATCCGTCAGAGACAAGCTTCCTTTGTTTGATGCCCAGGGGAATAAAGGTTATGTCCCAAGTTATCCAATCAAAAGCCGTGCAAAACAATAAGGTCCTCCCCACCGACGCCTCATCCAATCGTTCACAAGAAGCACCGTTCTAACATTATGCTTTTATTGTTACCAATGCATGTTGGAACTTTCCAACTACCAACCTTTGGTGTCCTCCGATAACTTAAAGGGAATATACATCATTTGCTTTTACTGTAATTTTCAGAAATGGATGGAATTGGGGGGTTGAAAATATATAGCAAATATAGTTACACTGACTTTTTTGAGGCTTTGGGTTCGAAAATGCTATAAAAACCAAGAAAAACAATCATTTTCCTGTAGTCTGGTTCCCTGACTCCATATAAGAAGAAACAGAGCAGTTTACATACATTGGGGAATTGTAAGGTCAGGGAACCAGTCTAACTGGCTCGTACCCGTTGATAGGTTTGTAATCGATAGCAAACAAGTGCGAAGGTCGATTGGGGCCAGTATTTGAAAAAAAAGCCAGTTTTTTCCAACGCTGATCGGCCGATTTCGATTAATAAAAAACTGAACATGTAGGCCTACATGTGCATGCACTTGCATGTACATATACTTGAACATGAACATGTATACCCATGTACATGTGTGTCTAGTTCAGTGACGGCTTGAAGTTGTCGGTCTTCCTCTTTTGCACTGGTGACCTTCAGTTTTCTTGTGTTTCGCCAGCTGATATGCTGTTGGGAATGTATGGAACGCCAAAGAGGCATTTAATGTGATCATCGAATCGGTGATGGACTTTTGCAATCGGTGATGCATATTCACGATCGGTGATGGACTTTCGCGATCGGTGATGGACTTTTACTGGTGATGCATATTCACGATCGGTGATGGACTTTCGCAATCGGTGATGGACTTTTACTGGTGATGCATATTCACGATCGGTGATGGACTTTCGCGATCGGTGATGGACTTTTACTGGTGATGCATATTCACGATCGGTGATGGACTTTCGCGATCGGTGATGGACTTTCACTGGTGATGCATATTCACGATCGGTGATGGACTTTCGCAATCGGTGATGGACTTTTACTGGTGATGTATATTAACGATCGGTGATGGACTTTCGCGACCGGTGATCAACTTTGCAATCGGTGATGGACTTTTGCAATCGGTGATGGACTTTTGCAATCGGTGATGGACTTTTGCGACCGATGATCAACAAGGGCGGATCCAGGGGGGGGGGGGCAAAGGCATCGCAATAAAGGCAGACAATGAGTACACCACCATCTTTTCCTAAAAAAAAATAGGTTAAAGTGGTCAGAAATTGCCTCAGATCACACCACAGAGCATCTACAATCCAAATTTTTTGACCCACTGTCTTGGGGACCAAATTTCCCCCCCCCAAAAAAATTGTGTTCTGAATCCGCCCTTGATGATCAACGACCCATCACCGATTGCAAAATCCATCATCGATCGCCAAAGTGCATCAGTTATTGAACGTGCATGCCGCTGTGGCTTAGGGTTTCTCGTGTTGCCCCTGACGGTGATATTTGTTTACGGTGTTTTTGTGTTTGAAAGTGTCTTTCTCATATGTGAACTGCATTTTTTTTTAAAATTAATGTGCGTAAAATGTTTGTTGTTTGTGTATGCCGCTGTGGCTTTGGGCTTTGGTGCTGCCCAAATTGCAACCGGTAAATGCCCAATCGATGGTATCCGGAATAAAAACACTCCCCCTGTGGATGTGGCATAAACACAATGATTTTTTTTTTATCCAATAAATGGTAAAAAGTTTTTTTGCACCTGGTGATTGATGGGTGGGCCATCGGAGACAGCATATGGCGGGGTTATTGGGGGGCCTGACCAGGCATCCAGGGGGCACAGGAATGCAATCACATCATCATCATCATCATCATAAATCCATCTAATAGCCAATCTTGGTATAGATATGTGGGGCCCTCTGGTCACTTAAGCACACTTAAGCGAGCACATGATGGACAGTACACAGAGGAACTTTCCTTGCAAATGTTTTTCCACCACCACCCCTTACATCCGCCAGTTATAGTGCTCCAAGGTTTCAAGAGACTATACAAATTACAAGGATTAAAATGTTCGCAATTTTTAGGATACAGACAGCCTGCTCCTCATATTTATGGGGCAAATGGAACCATTCAATCCCTTGTTTTTCTATTTTGTTAGGCTAATTTGATACTTGCCGTAGCGATCTCACTGTGTCACGAGGCTATGATGTTTTCCTGACTGAATGTACATCTGTGGGAAGCTATTTTTTGTTATTCAACTTTAATTTGCATTTGTTGTCATTTATTGCCACATATATCTCATTTTCATATAGGCCTACATGTATTTCATTTATTGTCAAGCATATTGTGTATGCCGTGGCTTTGAGTTTCTTGTGTTGCCCACTACTGGTCGGGCCTGGTGTTGCCCCTAAATTGTGTTAATACGGTTATATGTTATATAATATGTCCGTTCTCACTTGCAAACTCCATTTTTTGTAATGTCCGTGAAATGTTTGCAGTTAGTGTATGCCGCTGTGGATTTGGTCCTTTGGTGTTGCCCATATTAACATAACCATAACAATTAACAATTCAAACGGTATATGCCATATCACAGGTATCCGGAATAAAACACTCCTCTGTGAATGTGGCATGAACAGAATGATTTGTTTTATAATAGGCCTATACCCTTCGGGAGACTCTTTAGCGTCACACACTTAGAGGCAAAATATTATCGTCGCAAATAGACTCGATTGCTCGTGGTCAAATTAGTAAAAAATACCCGGCGAATTAAGGTAAAATTGGAGTTACGGGTCATTAAAGTTGGGGGGGGGGCGGACATGTGTGCACTAGTTTATGGGAATGTTCCCCAAATAGCCAATTATGGAATATTATAAGTTATTATTTTTTATCATTATTATTAACATTATTATTATTTGGGTTGATTATCACCATCAATCAGCTCAGAAGCTGAATTGCACAGTGATTTACAGTAAAAATTAAAATGAATTAAAAATAAACACATTTCACGAGAAATCGAAACACATACAAAATGCACAACAATCCATTATTCTCAAAAACATATACACTCGATAATAGCAATTAAAATTGTATACATTTGAAAATCCTATGTTGAACTATTGATGAGTCTGGGCTATTTCGAAATCTCTTGGATGAACTGGGATACTCCTTGAGTGTTCTACTCGATCTAAGATTCATAGTGTGCCAACTTTTTTGATTGAGGAAACCACTCATTAAATTTGCCTGATTTAAAAGCACCTAGTGCAAAGTTTGTACACATAGTGGTTCTTCTATCATAAAGGTGATCCAGAGATAGAGTAATACGGCAAACTCTTTTGGATCGACTAAATTAGATTGGTCTGTTTGAGTGTAATGCTTGAGTGCCAAACCGGCGATGCGTTTGCTAGGACTGGTATAACATAGGGTAACAAGTTCTTTGAGTAAAACCAGTTTCTTTCAGTTTCCTGAACATGAATAATTTTCTATTAGCTTTACCAATCATCTCAGCAATGTGTTTCTCATGTCCTTAAATTTGAGTCCGAGTATTTTTTTACCAATACGCGATAAAAGGTTTTTGCATAATATGATGATTGATGTGTGGGTCATTGGAGACAGCATATATGGCGGGGTTATTGAGGGGTCTGAGCTGGCATCCAGGGGGCACAGGAATGCAATCACATCATCATCATCATCATCATAAATCTATCTAATAGCCAATGTTGGTATAGACATGTGGGGCCCCTGGTCACTTAAGCACACTTAAGCGAGCACATGATGGACAGTACACAGTTCCCCCATCTTTTTTTTGGGGGGGGGGCTTTTCCGGGGGGGGGGGGGGAAGCGCCCCCGTGCTCCCCCCTTGTGACGCCCATGGGTGATGGTCTTTCACATCGGTGATCAACCTTGCATGGACTTTTGCTATCGGTGCAGAGGTTTTTTTTAAAAATATTATCAAAGTAAGTGGGTGAAAATATCCCAGCCAACCCCCCCCCCAAAAAAAAACCCCACTTTCTTCAACTTAAATATGCTGTCATTTCTGGGCGACGGAGGCTGCCGGCGTCATGGGCAGACTAAGCTTTGTTTAGGTTGTCGGTACATAGGTAACTGTTGCGGTTGTACTCCTATTGGAAATTTTTAGTGTGTTTTTATTTATACATTATTCAATATTTTCCTTTGATAACTCCGATGTTTAAAAAGACTGTGCACACCGGTGAATAATTTATTATTCATTAGTTAAAGAATAATGTAACCAATTGGGTTAAAATAGCGAATGTCTGTTCTGTTTTGTGCACTATACAATTGACAAGGCCACTTAAGACAAGCCCGAAAAGATCTCGGAAGTTGCGGCTCGATTGTAGACCGTTGTAGCCTATACATCATGTACATGATGTAAAGGTATGTTCTTAAATTGAAAAGGATTCCATTATTTTGCTGAACGTCAGTTGGTGCATGGAACGCGTTTGCATGTGGAACACCCAATTTGTGAGCCCCCATGTAAAAATGATTGACCTCGATCGTGCCCCAATTCCACGACTGCAAAAAAAAATGTAGCTGGTAAGTGGAGACCTGAAGCACGTGTTGTTGCGAGGGCTAAAGGGACAAGGTGATTGATTGCCAAAGAAGACATGGCTGGCACAAACCATAGAGCTAGCTCTATATTTCCCACAGTGGTCTTAGC